CATAGGAGGCAATGTTAAAGGGAACACCTGAGCCAACAGGATGTACACAACCCTCTGAGAATTCCAACTCTACCCAGGCCCATATCTGCACTGCGCTGGTACATAGCACATGAGAGCTCTTGCTTGGAGTTGACATAAAATTGGCACATCATGTGGCACGGCGGCAGAGCCATGAGGGGTAGAGCTAGATTAGAAGTGAAAGACGAGTGGTATCACTAAAACCTACCAGTTGGATTCCATGCAGTCATAATTATTCTCCTATCCATCGGATTTTCTTTCAATTGCCTTATGACCTCAGCCAGCTGGTCCACACCGCCACTTTGGGAGTAGTCAGCGTGCATATCAACGTAACTACCCCAGTACACTACCCGTGGTAGTCACTACAAGTGCATTACTCTGCACCGAAATGCCTCCACTGGAAGCCATAGACTGGTCCAAGATCGCCCTCCTCTCGGTGTGTAAGGCCTCTGCCGTCAAGGAACTCCCTAGTACCATTCAGATCCCAAATCTGCCCAAACAGCGCCACTCAAGCCGACCATTGAACGTTTTAGAACGGGTTAAAACGACCCAAAAGGCTCAGTCGCCGCCCACCTTAACGCCTTGATCACTGAGATGTTTCGCATTAGTATCTCCTCTGATGAACCAAAGGAGTTCCTCCACTACTCCACGCCAGAACACACGCTTAGTAGTAAGCAACGGGAACACACCATCTCTTAGAGAAAAACGCATATGGCATGAAAATATTGTCTTTGTACCTACAAATGAACCTCTACCCTTTAACACGCTAAAACTAAACCATCACCAACGCCAGTCCTATCATCAGCATCTTCCCCATTCTCAATGATTTCCTCGATAAGCCTCAAGTACTCATACTCCCCGTGCTGGAATTTCCCCCTGGGGCAGCGCTCCGCTAGAGACAACTGGCAGCCGAGAAAAAAGGACAAGATCAACCATATTATAAGAGCTCACCTCAGTTTTGTCAAAGCCTTCACGCCTCTTGTAATCAACAAAGTCGAAGGGAATATCGCTGTGACGGAAAGTCCTCGACACGGCAATAGGCTCCCTATGCAAACAGACGCAGTTTGAGGGGAAACTACATGTGTCGGTGACAATAGGAAAATCCTGAGGAAATTCTTATTGGTTTCTGTACACTTCTACCCGAATTCGTATATAAACTCCTATAATTAGTGAGGAAACTTCTGAGCTCAGCTGAGGAAAGCGAACATATATTCCTCCAACACCGAGTAGACATATCTCCCACCAGATTTCCTCATCGATTTTCTCCATAAAAACATCACACTCCCAGGGATCGGTCCCCACTCTAGTGGTGTACAGCGTACGGCCTATTACGACACATTCACACAACATAGGAAGTAAGCCAAGACTCACACTGTGGTAGTTGCATTGCCTCTGTTATCAAGGAGGCTCCACCTGAACAACAGCATACTCCCGAAGCCAATACCACTCCTCAGCTACCAATCACAAATATTTCGCCGATTTTTACTTCGCCTTGTTGCAACGATGCTAAGGAATCTAGCAATGATGGACATATTCTAACGCCTTGGGGGTAGTCGGCTGGTGACCTACAAAAAACCTCTCGGGTGGAACTAAATTCCGCACCTACGTAGTTGAGGAGATCACAACGTTAATACGGTCCTTAAGGGGCCTGAACCTCTCTGGAATAGACTCCCACGTTTTTCTTCCCATAATGCACACATTCTTCACATCATCGTTACAGTGCCCGCCCGTCGTGATGGTCTTGAAACGCTTCATATCTTCTGGCAGAGACTTCCAAGGCAGCTGACCGTCCTTCCCTGATGATGGAGTACTCAAATATAGGGGAGATATATGTTATACCTATTCCCCACTTGCACGTGTGAGCTACGATGACCGAGAGCTGAGGAAGAGCCATAGATGATGATGATTAATCTGTAATGGACAAGGCAAACACATTAGAGTAGTCTACTCGGCTCAGTGGAAAACAACGTATCGGAGTTTTCAACGTCATTGACATCGGAGAATCTTAAATTCTCAAATGCTGAACTGAATGTACTGTTGAAACTTATACGCGATGACCCTCGGAAATTGCACTACTACCCCCTGCGTTACAGCATTATGAACACAAACCAACAGTAGTGGTAATTTTAATGAGAAAATGTCAATCATACAAAATCAACGTACTCGCAAGGCCTCAACGACGACTTGCCACCAACTAGCTGACCTCCTCATAGTCTTTCTCCATCACTGTGTTACTCTCACCTTCATATCTCAGCTGGCAAGCCTATCACCATGCTGTACACGATGATAACGCCATGTTCAAGGCTGTCCCCTCATGAGTGCTTACCACACCTCGCATGAATATGATGCCGACTGCCTCGGAGGCAATGCAAACGCAAAGGATGGAGAGCTAATGGTTGCAAACATTTTTTTCATATCTTTTTCTTTCATGCAGCTGGTCATCGACAGTTTCACGGTACACCAGCGACCGAGATACACTCCATGCTCATTTACTCAATTCTGGAATTCAGAATCGACTCGAGTCCAGCCCCGTGATATACGTGTGAGAAGCGCTCTGCTGAGTTTCGAGATTGATTTATAGAATCATTCCTCAAAAATGTACCGGTGCATTAAGACATACCCCATCTTCATTGGAGTTTCACCGGTGATATGAAAAATATATTTCACGAGCACTGAATATCGCGTTTTTCACCGAGTTTTACGCCACTTCACGTAAAACGGGTGAAACTTCATTAAATCAATTCTGGAATTCAAAATCGACTCCAGCATCGCATTATAAGTGTGAGAAGATATTCTGAGATTCGAGATTAGTTTATTGATCGACCCCATACTTCGAAAGTCATACTAATCGAAAACAGAGTTATCGAGTGGAGCTATCTATCCAACCATAGAAAGTGTAACACTGTTGGCAGGCCAAAGGTGAATAGGGTGAAGACATATCATCTCGGCTAAGGTTTGTGTACTAAGCACGAAGGTGACGACCCAACCTCAAGGTTCTGATATGAGAAGGAGTAATCTCTCGCTGTTTTTCGATTGGTAGTCGAACAGAGAGTAGATCTAGACCAATCTCGATACATGTCGACATTCGCTGAACTCGCCTCATTTAGCGCTCGCCCATCTGATCGATTTTATTGCGCACGTTTCAGTGTTGTGACGCTTAGATCGAACCTTTAACCCTTAAAATTCTCATAAAGTTCCCTCTTGTACTTAACCATATTTTACCCAAATATCACTATGATGGTTTACTGTACATTCACCGTGTTGCGGCGTTGTACGTTGTATGGACATCTATAGTAATAGGAAACACTTTAACATATCACTGCCATCTGTTGACGTCTCCCAGAAACCATTTCTGTACATGTTAAACTCAATCCTAGTAGGGCTATACATCTGCTCGTGAAGTGGCCTGATTGAGATCGATGGACATTTCACTTCTGACTCGCCAAATCTACCATGTGTAGAATTCTTAAAGTGCTGTCAAATCGGCCTCTCTGTGGGGTCGAGTCTTAGTCCCCAGTCAGTGAGAGCTATTTTAGTATGACAACTCTCACCAGCGGGTCTACACCCAAAGGGGATTCTGGCATCGATATAAGCTCGGCATTTACAGCGCCTACTACCACACCGACGCCGACTTTCATGCCATCAGAGAAGTCTATTGAGGAGGGAGATACTACCAATTCGGACACCACTTCAGCTCAAAATCATGTACAACTATAAGAGTTATCAAACTATAGAGTTGCTCGCCAGGTTACTCTTGTTGTGAACAATTCTTTGTCGAACGCTGAAGAACTAGTGTCCCCTGTGGAGGAGCTGAAGACGAGGAAGTCGTTTCCAGTAGCTCCTATTTTCAATGATTCTGGATCGTTT